TTACTGAATCCTTAATTTTGTAGGACTAAGATTATGTTTGAATAGCTACATACCTTTCAAGGCTTATGGTGATCATCATCCGTAGTGTACTTTGTGTCTCTTCATTTTTAGTAGTTCTTATCCCTTTTATTTGGCCAGCAATATCTGTAAAATAATTACATGGGCTAAGGTATCTTTTGTGATTTCTTAACTAACGATCTTGAAATTTACAAAAAAATAGATAAACAGAATCAAACCTGGTAAATGAGTTCTCGTAGTGCTCGTATTGGCAAGCCCACAAGTTGCTGGAAATACCGGAACCGAAAGCTCTCCATCAGGGTTGGTTCAAGCGGTTCAGTCAGCTCCACAAAACGGTTTGTCAATGAAGCAATAGCATGGGGGCTCTCGCTAAAGCGTAAGTTGGGTTACTTCATTGAAAGCACTAAGCTCAAACAACGACCCTCACCCAGTAAGTGTTTGAAGGTTTTGAGTTGTGAACATCAACGGAGGCTTGAATCACCGTCGCCAGGGATAAAAAAGAAATCACCAACCTTAAAATATCATACACCGGTTGCCATTTTGGTAGCGTTTGACCAAAGATTAAACGAATAAGAAAAAAGTAGAGGACTTGGAGAGAGGTAACAAAGAAGGTATACTGTATATATATATATACTCTGTAATAAGCTAATATGAATGAATTAAACGTATAGTGAGAAGGAGAGAGTGGGATTAGTGGGTTGTGTTGATTGATTGCCATAACGGTGGCGGAGATTTCTTCACCGGGGAAGGGGAATCGGGAACGATAGATTTCAGGTTAGGTTAGATAATCTTTGGATTGAATATCGATAGGGAAGATTTGACCATTAAAAGGAAGTGAAACAACTTCGAAGAAAGTTGTTCGTTGAAACGGATTTGGAGAGAAGAGTAATGGAAGATGTGGAAGTCGAAAGGTAAGAGATGAATGAAATTAGGGTTGCGGTTTACAAAGGGTTATCACTCGATCGCAGAACAAACATGCCGGAAAAGATGAAGCCTACAAACAATATAAATTAAAAATGACGTGGATAATTTTTGTAATATTATTGGTTGATTATTTCAGCTGATGTGGACACTCTAAAAGAGGTTTATTAAGTCCTTTTAATAGTGTAGACTAGATCGTTTTCCGTGCTACGCGCGGATAATTGTTTATTAATTTCATTACTAATTTTCTTTTGTTAATATAAATACTGTATAATTTTCATGGTATATAAACTATATAGTGTTTAGAATATAATATAAGAGGGGTGAGATGCTCTATTTATGGTGTTTAAATGTTGAGTATATTTTTTTCTCGCATTTTTGTAACAAAATCTTTTTATTAGTTTGCTGAAATACCAAAACTGAGTTTAGAATACATAGTTTATATAATGTGAGGAAGTTTTTATATACATGAGTTAGAGTAAATTTGTGTAGCCGATGATGAGGCGAGAAATAGCTTTCTTATAAATAAGAATTATTAACCAGTATGTATTAAATTTAAAATTTGTATTTGTTTTGACCATTGGATATTTTGGGATAAAACTTATCACCATAACAATTTTATAGTTGCGATTTAGTTATGCTTTGTAGCTTCCTGAAAAGAGATGTTTGGTTGTCTAATAGTGTAAGCTTAACAATTATAATTCTATTGAATCATTTATAATATATTGACATAAGTTACATAAAATTTAATGACAATATATTTTAAAGCTAATGTCTTGCTGGTTTTTATTATAAATTTCTATTTTAAATTAATTATGATTTAGTATTCTATAAATTAATTATTATTTTAAAATATAATTATTAATATTAATAAAAATTTAAAATATGCTAAAGATATGTTTATAAATGTGTTTATATTGTGAAAAATGAGTATATTATTTATAAAACTAAAATCATACTGTCTAAATATTATACAGATTGGTCGTTCTATATAATCTGCTAGTATATTATTGTGATTACTTTTTATTATAATTTTAGCTATCTATAATTTAACAATAAATTGGATTAAAGATTTAGCAATTCTATCAAAGGATAGTAAAATAGTTATTTTTTATCGAAAGAGCACACAGAAAAAGAAAATGACTAAAATATGTTTCACTAAAAATGTAAAAGATATTTTTATCATGGCATTATAAATATATAAATATAAAAAAATATTTAAATAAATAATAAATTTATTATTTTTCAATAATATATTTTTAAAAGCGTTCTTTTTTTTTCTTCTTGAAATCATATATTTTTAATATTTTGCCAAAGTATACAGAAATAAGTTGCAAACTGTAACTTATAGTGTATTTAATAAATGTTGACTATTTGCAATATTTATAAATCCCTATACTCTGATTCCATTATAGAACTCAACCATACTTCTAAACAACTCTTAGAACAACCAAACATGAGTCAGGTATTTTGGGTTCTGAGCAAGAAAATGGAACCATCTTTATCATCTCCGAAGAGAACCATTACGATGAAGATAAAGAGGCCAAGGACGCAACAAACCAAAATAGTGATATCCGTTGACCTAAAGACATCAAGTAATGGCCACTTTAACCACGAAACAGTAGGGAATGTGGAGTACATGCTTGGATATCATGAAATTGATTATGATTCGGTAATGGAGATTATCGAGGAGACTTCTGATGTTATCGCACTCACTATTCCAACGCTCAATGTTCCCACAAATACAAATCTTGATATAATTGTTAAGATATCTGATTACAACCCAAACGCATTCAGGAGAATTGACCTAGACGTATATATGATCGAGCTTTATGAAAACCGAAGAAAACCCATCAGTGATGAAGAAGATGATGTATGCCCAATTTGTTGGGAAAAGTTTGGCACCGAAGGAGAGATCAACTCTATAAATTGTAAACATTCGTTTCATCATCACTGCATTTTAGTATACAAGAGGTCGATTATCTCTCCTACAAAGTATTTGTTTTATTCCCCTTGTCAATAATAAAATGTTTCAGTTCTTGTTATTATTTTTTAAAATAACAATCTTCAAATTTTTGTTGTTCCAATAACTTATTTACAGTTTTCAATTTGTTAATTTGGTGATCATATTTCTTATGGGGCTTTTCCAAAAAAAATTAAATAAATAATAATTTGTGCGGGAATATCATAATGATGTATATTCATACATTTATATTGAACAATCTAAGTCACTTTAACTACTTAGTATTTATAATTACAGTAAATAAATTAGTTATCACAAAAGTATTATTTTAAATTGAAAGTAAATGCCAAAATTCAGTCCTTTATAATATATACTAGATTTTGACCCGCGCTTAAAAGCGCGGAAATTTTTTATGATTAAAAATTTATATAATTAGGTTTTCTTTTAATTTAAAGAATATTTTGATATAAAATCAGTTCACCAAAATTTGTGGTGATGATTGTTTTTCATTAGTTTTTAGTTTCACTTTTTATTTTTAGATTTTGGTTTTTAGTTTTTAAGTTTCTACTTTTCATTTTCAGTTTTTGGTTAGGGTTTTTAATTTTTAAACCCGCAGAGTTAGTTTGAACTGATATTACCAACAAACAAATCTCAAATAATCGAACATCTAATTTAAAACTGAAAAGATGAAAACAAATTAAAAAAAATGAAATAGTTTATATTCTAAATAAACAAAGCAAACAAATATAATATGTGTTTTCAGCTTTTGGTTTTGGATTTTAGTTTTTAGATTTGGTTTTTGGTTTTTGGTTTTTGGTTTTGCTTTACATTTTTTTAATCAGTAAATTATTTAAGAAAAATAATACAATAAATTATTTAAAAGTTACAATTGAAATTTATCAAAACAAAGTGATTGTTATTTAATATAAAAAATATATTAACATGTTTTAAAGTACATGATTTAAATAAATGATTAATAATAGATAGTTTTGTTTTGTTAAAAATATTAAATATCTTTTGGGTCTGAAAATAATAATTGATTTTTTGATCTTTTAAGGTGAAAAGTTTATTCAATGTTTTTTGGAGTTTTTTCTTAATATTAAGCCCAAAAATCAAACTATATAATTTGTTCAAAAAATAAAAGTAAACCCAAAACTATACTCCATAAATAACCACTGGTTTAATTTAAGTATAATTAGTACATTTCCATATTCCATATTTTGATGATATATATTCTTTTTAAACATTCCATATTTGTAGGAAAAAATATGTGTTTTCGGTATATACATAGATATCTGCCGTATTTTGAAGGTAGTTTACATTAAGGTCGTCTTTTTACATTAATTGTGTTGGTTTAATTTAAGTAATACGATTCAATCAATTATATGATTTATATTATTTGTAACATTCTAGAAAGGGTCCAAATTTAAATGACAACTTGTATCAGTAGATAAAAAAAATGACTCTATTTTAATAGAATAGATTTTCCAATTTTGGTCATGGGGTAATATATACTAATTTTATCATATCATCATATTACCACATAACTATTTAAGAAGAAATATATATAATACTAATAACTTCTTTTTAATATGAGGAAACGATGATTCAAAGAGCTAATCTAACACTAATAAAATTAGGAAAATTTATGAAATAAACAATTTTAAAAATATCGATCACTCATGACCAACATTTGCATTCATATATTATGTTTTACGGGGTTAGCCAAACATATTTATATACAATAATAAAATCTTTTCCTACTACATTATTTATATTTATATGTGTATATTTTACATTACAAATAAACTTTCAATGAATGAGAACATTTTATGTGGTATGATAAATATGAGATATCAAAGAAGAACAGAGATAGATATTCCAGTACAGTAAAATTGTACAAAGAACATCCGTAAAATCAAACTTAAACAGACATATTCTGCCTGTGAAAGACAAAGTCTATGGATTGCAATTTAAAAAAACCAAAATGTCTAGCAGAAAAAAAACAAAAAAAAAACAATATGTCCAGCAAAACATAAAGCGGTAAATAAAAAGCAGAAACAACAGTCACTGCTCAGAAGGATAAGTTGAAGCTGGATTAGCCACTCTTGGCACGTTTTGGGTCTTCTGCTCCAAGACCATCCTGTGCTTTCCTAACCCTATCATCAGCAGAACCTTCAACACCTCCAGGAGCACCAGCATCCTCACTTCCAGCATTCAAAGCATCATCAGCTGCTTCTGCAATACCATCATCTGCAATAACTTCTTCTTCCAAAAGTGCATCAGGGGGTAGAACCTTTGTGACAGTTATAGAGTGAATCTTTCCAGTCAAATTCTGGTCGGATATTTTCACAATGAACTTGAAGGTTTTTCCTATTGCATCGAGTAAAGCACGAGGAGCTGGTACGCAATGGTCAGAAGCAACGTCTTCTTTAGACTACAATAGAAGATGAGTCTAAGTTAGCTAAAAAATTTTGAACTATGTACGAAAAACTCCGAAACTACCTCAAAATAACTGGCCACTAACTCCGATGCTGGTTTCCCTGTCAGAACCTTGCCAGCATCTCCAAGGACGACAAAAACAGCTTGCTCACTCTTATCGTATGAGGTACCTGAAAAAAATACAATTAGATATGATAGTCACAAATTAGATAATAAAACCATCCTAGTGGCACTTACTGAGGAACCCCTGTGACTTGTCTCTTGTCACACTTGTTATTGTTATAAAACAGGGTTGTAGGTCCTTTGACAGCCTTGCTATTACACGCACCACACGAAATGTAATACTAAGGTGATCCCTGGATAACATCGTCTATAGTAGCTGTGCATTCAAACCAAGCAACCTATCAACCAAGAAAGTTTAAATCAAATACAAAAACACAAAAGAAAATCTCAAATATTTGGATTCAGAATTACTCTATTACCTTAGCCGTCTCCTGCTAAATGTAGGCAAATATATCCTCTAGACTCAACGGCTCAGGCTTAATCACAATCTTTGCATCAATTTTATTGGCAATATCAGCATTGGAGATCAACCTGAGATAAACGTTGAAACCATCAGTAAGTGAACACCGAGTGAAATGAAATGGTGGAAACGGCATAGATATATTTTTATATACTAAGTTGCATACCATCCTAGATAATCCTTGGTAGGACTCACGTCAGAGTCCATAAATACTCGGGATGATGTCATGGAAGTGAGGCAAAGAGTTCCTGATCATAAAAAGTGTTTGATCAATATCACAAAAAAAAAAGAAGAAGGTAAACGAAACATTAGAGTTTAACAATAGAATCAATTGTTCTACACAATCAGCTACTAATAATCATATGATTCCTATCACTTGTGCCGAAGTAAGAAAATTCACAAATGTATCATTTCATCCTAGCAATTCAATCACTTAAAGACAACAATTTAAATCACAACAACTAAGATTTTTATATAAATACGAATAGTTGTCTCAAAAACTAACCTCCAAGGCGCTTAGGGTTCAGAGTAGTGACCAGAAGGACGCTTGGATTAGGTCCGCAGGACTTGAATTTCTGGCAAAATTCGGTTGCAGCCTGATCCCATAAGTAGAGCTTCACAACCGGACCACTGCTCAAGTTAAAACCTATTAGTTAAGGACAACATAAACCGGTAATAAATTTGAAAGAAAAAAGCGAGCTTACTCATGTGTCTGAGCATTAACACATAGATGCCGCTTTCCTTCAATGTCAACTTCATCAAGCACAGTATGCTCGGTGATAGGCTGGTCGTTCAGAGGTTTCATGTGACCTACAAAATCTGACATTTGGAAAATTTAAACATATATCAAAATTTCAATCTGGTGAACCAAAAAATACCACACAATATGTTTCAGGAATATATCACACACTATCAAAAATCTCTAAAACATTAACATAAGCCGATATATAAGATAAATTATAGCTAACTAATTTGGTGCATATGATTTTCAAAGTTAACAGAATCTCACCACAGAGATCACCCCTGGCATCACATTTTGCCTCAAACTCCTCCACACTATGTATTCTGAACTGATCCTCCCCAAATGGCACAGGAGGGTTCTCGAGTAACAACAACTCGGAATTCCAAGAGAAGGTCACCGTGGCTAGATGATCAGCAACCCGGTACATGGCTTTGTTCCTGGATCCAAAGAATTTTGAGAGGATGTAAACGGAACCCGCGACCAGATCATAGGTCCCAACACGTCCCGATGGCACAAAACCTTGAATAACTGTCCCCTGTAATCACACGTATAAAAAATATAAGTCTTACCATTCAAAAGGGGTTTGCTACCAATGTATAAAGCACACGATACAATGAATTATACAGTGAAGTATATTTAGAAGAACACATTTTTAAAAACAGAAACTCTATTTATAAATCTCAGCAACGAATCTTGCTAAACATCTAACTCCATTGCCCCACATCTAACACACCTTTTTTCTAAAAAGAAAACAGACACTTTCAATAACAAACATAAAGTAAACAATCCGAGGAATTTTAAATATTCTCAATTTTTTTTTTATAATCAGATGTAATAATAACAATACTCTAAAACCTTAATCTGAAACCGATGAACATGATAAATAAAGAGAATTATATTCAGGAAAACACACTGTTAAACAAAAAACTATATTTCCAAATCTCATCAATGAATCTAGCTAATCATCCAACTCCATTACACAACATCTAACAAACATAAAAAAAGGTAAAGAAAACAGAGTCTTTTATATCTTCCAAATCCAAGAGAAAGGCTTTTAATAACAAAAACAGAGCCTTTTTGGATTCGAGATCACAAAAACACAAGCTTTAAAAACAAAAACATAAAAAACAGAGTTGACTAATTTGGAAATCAATTATATGGATCTAAGTTTTGAAAATTTTATATAGCCAAAGAACTACCTCTTCGTCGATAAGAATCATCTCCTGTCCAATAAGGGTTTTCGTCCTCGGATTTATAGCCTCCCAGAAGTGAACCAAGCGGAACCTAAAGGACGCTTCATGTGGACCAAGAGTTACGTCTCTGAAGAGCATCGGAGGTGGGAGAGCCACAGGAGCTTTTGGTTTGGTCGGAGTGGGTGACAAAAGCGGAGCCTTGCCGTGAGGCTTGGAGACATTCACCGAGGAAGCTGAAGAGTTCTCATCTTGTTGAGCATTCGCGGAGGAGGAGTTGCCCTCTCGATTAGCCGCCGCAGAGGAGGAACGAAGCTTTTTGTTGGTCTTTTGGCCGGTAAGAGCTGAAGATTTAGATTTGGGTTCCATCGAAAATCTTGTGAGAGAGTAGAGGTTTTGGAAAGCTTAATCGGAGAATCAGCAAAAAATAGACATCTATAGATACTAAATTGGAGAGGAAGTTGAATAGAAAAACTCATTGAATAAGATAACTGAAGATTGATGAGATTGTATGGGAAAATTGATTAGAGAAGAGTGTGGGGTTGATTAATGAAAAAACTGTGGTGATCTAAACGGAGGAAGGCGAAAGATGGTAGGAGATGAGATCGAAAGGTGAGAAGTAGGAGTGGGCACAATTACTTGCTACTCGGCTTGTACTCGCTACTTGTTTCGTACTTGGCTCTTAAAGTCGAGTACTCGTTTTGTTCAAGTCAAGTATCAAGTCATTTATTTCAATTACTTGCAAGTACAAGACAAGTACCAAATACTAAAATAAAAGTAACTACTTGGCGTTGTTGGCTTGTTACTCATGACTTATTACTTGATTTATTATCCGTTTTTATTTTTAGACAAAAAAATCTCTAAATTATAATCAAAGTACTTGTTTATAAATCAAATGAAATAAAAAGTGATATATTATAGAAATATTTTAGAGTTTTCTTTCAATTTTATATTTATCATATATCGATTTAAAACATATAAAACATAAATAAATATTCTTTATTAAAAATTGTTTAGATTATAATTGTAACTAACTAAGTTGTTTTAGAATTCATATACAAGGTTTAAGTAGCAAAAATTAATAAACTATTATTAAATAATTTACAAATAATTATAGAATCATTTATAAATTAGTTAGAAAGCAACAAGTAGTAAAACATGCAAGTACTTTCAAGTATACCATTTTTAGCAAGTACTTGGCTTGTGCCCACCCTAAGTGAGAAGAGAGAAGTTTCTAGCTTTCTCCGACACCACTCGGTGTTTAGGAAAAGCATTCTTTGGGCCAAAACACTAATTAAGCCCAAACAAAAATGAGTTCGAATAGAATGAGGACAATATAAAAGGCCCAAATAAAATACGAAGCAAAAATCAGTCGAAATTCAGAACAGCTTTTGGTCAACCGGCTTCCTCGCGTGAACCAATCTGATGTGTCTGCTTGAAGCCCCCCTATTGGTCAATTATAATTGCATACGTGGACAGGTTGTGGAGGCTTTATTTGCAACTTTTATTAGAACTAGAGTGTTTCTCCGGGCTACGCCCGGATAATCTACTTAGTTTTTGTTAGATAATGAATTAAATAAAAACATTATTAATTACTATGAAATTAAAAATAAAGAATCAGTCCTATGTTTTTGAGAAAATTCTATTTTATCTCATTTCGGTATTATTTATGTTTTTTTTAGAACAACACATTTTTTTATATTTGACATTTTAGGATTATGCACATATATTAAAAAAATATTTAATTTACATACGTCTCTAAACACAAACATTATTAATTACTTATCTTATTATAATCCAACATATAAGAAAAAGTAAACTATTATATAATTAAAATTTTACATCAATTAGTATTACATTTTTCATAGAAAATTGAAAACGTAAAACCAAATATTTCCTCTAAAACATCAATTATTAAAAAAATTGAGGGATTATTATTTATGTTTACCGTTATTATTTGAATATTTTCACAAAGTAAAGTATGAAGTTTCAATTAAAATAACCTTAGAGATTATTCTGGACTCTCCATGGACCTGAGATACCTCTAGGTTAATCAAAATAAAAGTTTCAATTAAAATACAAAATACTATTATATCCTTACTTTCTAGTTATATAAATATAAATAATTCTTTAAATAAACAAATAATAATTTTACAGTTTCCGAATTATACATTTTTTAATTCGAAATCTTTATAAAAGTTTAGATTTTTTCCAAAATTTTCTGTTGTAATTCTAAAAATGTTTTGAAACTATTTTTAAATGTTATTTATTTTAAAAAAAAACTCTAAACTATACACTTCAAAATCCCACTCCTAAAATATAAACCCTTAATCTTTATTAGTTAACTCTAAGGATATAGATGTCTATTTACTTCTTTAAACCTAAAGGTAAATGTGATTAAAATAAACATGAAAAGTGATATTAAAAGTGTGATAGTTTAAGCAATTTCTCATTTTTTGGATACTTAAGATACGATACTTTTCCACTAATCATTGTTTTAACAGTAATATATAATCTTTTGGGATTAGTTATAATATTGATTGTCAATAATACAAAGAAATAGCAAAGGTCAAAGTAGGAATGAGTATTTTACCTGATATCCGAACCTATACCTGAATCGGACCCAAATAACCCAAACAAAAATTGAAATTGAAATAATAAAATACTAGAGCGGATACTGAATTAGGAGAGATTGAATATTCAAACCTGAATGGATATCCAAAGATTACCAAACATATTTATACTTGACATATTATTTCTAATTATTTCTCACATTTTGTTTAAAATATTTATATCAATGCTACACATAGTTTATAACAGATAACATACATATAATTACATACAAAATGATTTATTACTCACTTTAAATGATGTCAAGATTTTTCTTTCATGCATTGACAAAAATTGCATCT